AGAAATTAAATCGTTTCTAAGACTTTTCTTACCTCTTTCCCTTTGAATCCCCTTCCATGGGAATGTATTCTGCTTCTTGGAGTTCCTAAAAAGGATAAAAGGTCAGTCTTTCCAACCTCACCAACCAAGTCTCTCTGGATTCTAGACTCCCTTGGAATTGGGAATCTGTAGAATGCAGGATTTGGGGGGAGGGGGATGGGGGCCAAAACCCATTTTTATAACATTGGTAAGCCGAACTTAAGACATGACTACTTACATGTTTAGGATTCTACAGTGTGAGGATGGGGGATGGGGGGAGGCCCCCTTGGCCCCTTGGCTACGCCCCTAGAATGTGCCCTTACTCTTGTTTGAGTTTTAGTAAATTAACCTATTGTTCGAAAACACAGTGAGACATTAAAAAGAACGCAGGATAAGCCAGAGATATCAACCATGTTCATGGTTATCGTTCTTACTTTCTTTAACCATGAGGGAAGTGAGCTGTCGTTTGTTGAGGTCGATGACCGAGGTGATCGGCTGGATTCTGTTGATTTGGTGTCTATTGAAATGTAGTCTGCCTGGTCGAGCTCCTGTGCAAAAAAGAGCGAAAATTATGTTAATGCACCACCACCACAATAATACCAACAACCTCCAAAACCACCACAACAACGTTACAACAACAAAGACAACAAAATAATGACATCAACTACCGCCACAACAGCAACAACAAAGACCACAAACTAATGACATCAACTACCGCCACAACAGGAACAACAATGACCACAAACAACTTTAAACAACAACGAAAACACACAAAATCATTTGAATACAAATCAAATAATATTTGGGCAATTTGCAAAATGCTTTAGTTTACTACGACTACCAGAATGCTTCACGTTTATGTTCATCCCTCTTAAGATTTATATCACTCATGAAACAAGTGAGACAATCGTTGATAATAAAATGAGAAAAAACGCGCAATGGATTCTTGTAGTAGTAGTAGTAACTATCTATATAAGGACATACATCCTGTAGCCAAGGCGGAGGGAGACTGGTATCTCCGAGGGTCCTGAATTTGGGTGACCGCGGTGATGGCCCTACTCCTGAGTCAGCGGTATCCATCATGGGGTTGTGCGGACGATGGTCGTTATGAATGCCRCCATCATCATCAGCACCAATGCTATCGACCTCGATGCGTAAACGATCCGAAAATACAGAATCGTCACCAGCTGTTAGAGAAAGAATAGTATAATTAGTATAATTTAGTATA